ACGCTAAGATAAACACTCAGGTGATGTTCTTAATTATCACTGTCAGATTCAGATTGCCGTACGGATGTCATGCATAGCACTAACATTTTTTCAGAGATATATAAATTGTTACCCCTATACAAACGATTTCTTAGATCGATGCTAAAATGTGGCTTCAAGTAAATGAAGCCTGTGGCTCTTAGCGAGGATGCTTCTTTTTCGAACCTTGTGGGTTGGCGCTACAGAATCGCATACAAGCAACTATGCAAAATAATAGAAATAACATTACTTGAAGACCTTCAAATTAGCAACAACTAAAATAGATATCACATATAACACCAAGAGAAAATAATGACGTAATGAAGATGTTGACATTCCACATTACTTTAAACAAAAGTTTAGGAAGGAAACCTTCATCAATACTGGAAAGTTGGGAAATTGAAAAATTGTTGTATTCGAAAGATTTTATGAATTACAACCGAACGTTGCTCAGGCTGCTCAAGGATGCAATGTCGAATGATTTTTGATAAGGGAACTTCTAATAATGAGATTATCATTACCATACGAATGCTAAAAAAAATACCTTCATCTTCTTTGTTTTTATTCCTATAGAAATCGGCAATTCTAAATTTGGCCATTCTCTAGAAATAGGCAAGATATGTAAATTCTGAATATACAGCCTTTCTCTCCCGAATGACATATCCCTAATAATACTCACAATAAAATAAAATAGAAAAATGAAATAATAAATAAATAGTTTATATATAAAATATATCTTTGACAAGTCTATGGAATAAATAAATAATTCGCGCCAGAAAAATTACATCAGAAGAAATTATGCTGCTGACTTAATCCCTTTCTAGTATTTATTGAAGATTAAATCCACAACAAATATCTTGTGAATCCAGACATTGAAGCTGAGTCCAATTATCTATATCTTCCAGAAGCTACAGCGTGCATTGTATGGTCAAGAATAAAATGTATGTAAAGATATTTTCTACAAATATTTTAATGGCAACTGGTCTAATGAGCTTTTTCTCCTGCTGCTCCGACAACATGAATTTAAACGTGCTACTGGATTGGCAACTAGGTCTCAACGTTTTTACTTTTTAACTTAAGCTAGATGCAACTACCATTTCTAATATAATAGGTTATTTTCTCGCACTTCCCACCTATGGAATTTCTTTCCTACTTCTTGCTTCCATGATAACAATCTTCAAAAGTTTAAATGCTACATGAATCGCCATTTTTCTCTTCTTGAAATTTGTTCATTTTTTTGTCTTTTCCTGAAACGTCGGCAGCCTCAGTCTTTCCATTCTCTTTTATTTTCACTCCCTGCAATCACCTGCGGTTTAGTAGCATTATTGCTTTGCTTGGCGGTGAAACGTTTTGAGTTTAAGTGATAATATTTCGAGAAGGACATGTATTTGATGTTTTCTGCTGTTGTTTAAATCTGGATAATGAACAATTTTTGAATGTCAAATATCGTATAAACATTTCGTGAACAACTATGGTTATTCGTATTACAATATCTGTGAGTATTGTAGAAGAGAAGACGATTTACCTCGTGTGGCAAAGCGAGCACGTATATGCCTGGTGGGCAAAATGACTTAAAGAAAGGAAAGGATATATTTATTATTGTATACATGCAATAATTGTGGCACATGGCCAAAGGAGAACTGGGGAGAGGCTGGTCTTTTCTATCTACCCTCGTCCTACTTAATCACGATCACGACCCATTCATCCAATACAATTTATCAATTTACCACAAGATCTCGTCTATCACCATTCAATCCTACATAAACCACAATAGCACATATTCACAGGGGAACCTACAAAAATCTTTAATTATAAATATATTTATATAACTTTCATGAATCATGAAATGAGGGGAGGGAATGAACACAGAAAACTAACAAAAGATTGTAACAAAAGAAAGTAAAACAAAACAGATGTTAGTAAAACCCGTCCATCCCTCAAAATAAGAGCGGCTTCTGTATTCTGCCGAGAGAGAGAGAGAACCAAGAAGCATACTCACTAATAGAGAGGGAAGAGTAAAAATAAATGACGGAAAGGGGGAAATCAAAGTCTGACCCAGCCGGGATGAAAAAAAGTGGGAAATAACAAACTGAGGATGTTGAGAATCCCGACATGGATCGAAACAAAAGAAAATGCCAGGAGCATGCCGGCAGCAACATTTATTCACATTAACTAGCAAAACAAATAGTGCCTAACTTAACCAAGGGGAGGGATCACAGGAAACCGCCCTATTGTGACCAAGAGAAGTTAAAAAAAGGAACTCAGGAATAGTCTCTTTTACATATAAGAAGCTCGCTACTTTCACCCACCTTTCGATAAAATCTGTCGATAATAAACGCTTTCTATCTATTCTCATCTTCACCTTCTGCTGCTGTTGAAATAATCCAACGAGAGCCTGATGAGAATAGCGCGTGTATCGGAAGATTCCCTCCATCCACGCCGTCCAAATCACCATTCGGGCCACGGCTAGCAGCGTCAGAAACACCATTCGTTTTTCCCCAGAATACGGGGACGACACATTATCGTATGTGCGATAAGTGAGCACGAGAATATCGAGAGCGATACGAGCCATCAAATCGCCGACATAGTTCCACAAGGTTCCTGAGGACAATGGTAGAAGGCTTGTGAAACCATTTCTTCTAATGCAAGCTCACAGCGATGACAGTCCTCACAGCCCCAACCTGTCATTGAGAGATAGCAGTTTTCGAATCATACGACAGGTAGCGAAAAATCAGGTTTACTGACATAATTCGGCACTGGCGCCCAAGAAGTGAATGAGCACAACTCGGTCGCCGACAAGTCGAGCCTCACACAAAATGGATCCTTCGCAACCTCCTCCACTAATTCACGATGCAAGATCTTCCGAGGCCGTGAAAGGTCAGTGCACCGAGGAACAACCACCAAGGCCGCTCGACACTCGCTGCGCAAATTCGACAGTCTCCTGGGCCATGGACGTCACTTAGCCCAGGAGATGGGAGTAGTGATGGTAAGAATAGGGAACGCGTCCCTAACACTCCCCTCCAAAATCGAATTCTCGAGGCCTGTCGATTATGGCAATCCCAGACCCCCATGACATTGACGGTGGACACAGCATCCTTTGCAGATCTTCTGCTTGCGACCACCACACAATAAGGTAAACAAAAAGCGTTCCACCAACTACCTACGGTCCTTGCAAAGCGGAAGTACAGCCAAGCAGTAAACTATGAGAGGAAAGACGTAAGTGGCACACGCCTCCGCTCTACCATTCAAGTACAACCCCCTCGGAGCCAAGTCCCGACCGGCGGTACTTCTGACCAATTTTTCTCCAGCTGAATATCGGATAGAAACCACACTCCAAGAATGCGGACAGGACCGTCTGTCCAACCAAAGGGCCCTGGAAGATTGACCCTCTTTCAGTAACTGCAAGCCGGAAAACTTGTGGTTAATCATGTCCCCTTGACCTTTTCGTGTCGTTCAAGTGACTTCTGTACTAGCTACAGGTCGCTGTCACACGACACGAAAATGGATACGTCATCGGCGTACGTGGAAACCGTAGCACGAGCCCCACTAGGGAAAGCGATTCGATGTAGGGCCGGACATTTCACCCTGTGCCTCACCGGCGAAGGAGAGGCTCCAATGCAAAGCGTCAAGTAGTGTTGACAGTGGGCAACTCAGACGAACCGACCGAGAAAGCGGAAAAGCGCGCAACTGCTTTCCGTTCACCTGTACTATAGCACCACGGAGCGATACAGGAGGCTAATCCACTTACAGAACTCAAGTTTGAATCCGGCAGCCGACAGGACAGTAGCAAGGTACTGAGGTTGATCCTATCAAATGTCTTTGACAGATCCAAATGTATCAGCGTGGCTTGCTTGTCTTCTTTTACTTCCTCTAGCATCGTGCGAATCAGATGCAGGTTGCTCTGAATTGTTCGTCACTTCACAGTAAAAGTTTGTTCGGGTCCCAGCACAATCTCGTCAATTGACTGAAAACGAACCGTCAGGTTCTTGGCCCAAATCTTTAACTCTGTGTTTAGCGTTATCACACCCCTGGTGATCGAACTGAGGATGGACCCCAGCCGGAACCAGTTGTTGAACACGACAGTCAAAATCGGCACAAAGATGTGCGACAGCCTCAACTACAATTCATAGGGTGAACCATCGTCTCGGAGACTTGCCCTGCAGACCCTCTTCAAAGCCAAGTAGACTTTGTCTTCCGTGATCTCACCCTCACAGCAACCAGCTTCAGTTGATGAAAGCCGAGGAAAAACAGCTAAATCGCTACGAAAATCATCGCCACTGAGACCAATTTCCTTGGTAAACTGAATCTCGAAATGCTGCCGAAACGCCTGACACATGTTATCAATCGCCCCCAGAGTACGTCCTTCCGATTTTTTAACCTCACGAATGTATCGACCGGAACATCGATGGATCTCTTCCTTGCTCAAATGTGCGCCCCTGTTTAAGGTTTCGTTAGACATCTTGTTTAACCTAAGCCTAACTAACTGACCGCTCTAGAGCCAACCTTGCTAAACCTATTTTTAAGGAATCCCACACAGCCTCCGCCCGAGAAAGACTATCATTGAAAACCTTCATCTTTTTAGCCTTATCTAATGCGAGCCGCTAGCTATATTCGGTGGTGAGGGACCTAATTCTATCTTTAAGCCACTCCCATCACCTATTCCCAATAACCGCCCCCAATAGTTCCCGCTGCACTAGTCTAATTAGCTGTTACTGGAAGACTCGCTTGTCCATTAAGGACAGATTGAATGTCCGGTGTTCAGCCATTCGAGGCTTAACATCTATCCGGGCACAGATGAGTTTATGGTCCGAATAGACCAACCAATTTGGACAATCTTGTACGTCTATATCGGCCCTTCTCACTAAAATTCTATCCCGGATAGTGCCCACGTTCACATTTCCCGCCTTGGGTGATCGACCTACTATCTATCGACGAAACCAAACTCGTCAATCACATTAACCAGGTTACGATCACCCAATGACCCTCCCCTAGCGCCCCGCGTCTTGTCTATGTAGGGAGGAGAGATGTTGGAAGAAGGGCTGGCGCTGTATGGATTGGTATTGCTATCAGTCGCAGATGTGCTGGGAGTGGGTGTGTTGGAAGGAGGGGTCTTGTGAAGTGGGGACAGCGGAGCTTTATAAAAGGAGAACCAGGGAGGATCCTTGTGATGCTTGCCTATTTTTTGTTGGTGAAGCAGGGACGAATTGGGACTTTGGTTCTCCATGGCGTTATCCCCGCTACTACGTCCACTTCGTTTTTCTTTCTTTTGATTTTTTCTCCTTTTGTCTCTTCGTGTTCCTTTCTCAATCTTTTCAAGGATGAGGACAGAGGTGGACGCATCTCTTCCACGTCTACCTCTTCGCATTTTTGCTGTTCGTGATGGAGGTCCTTCTGTTGCTCACTCTGCTGGCTCTTCTGCTCCAGTTGGGGCTTCTTCTTAACCTTTTGCTACTGAATACATTTTGATATCTTTGACTCTGGCTGGTGGGTACGGGTTGCCACTTTTGCCCTCTTAGCTATTTTCGTCCATCCTCCCGGATCTTTCACAACTTTGGATTTCGTTTTTCTTAGAATTTTGTAGCTGAGATTGCACTTCCGGTTTCTTCCTGGGGAATAATTTAGAGAGATGCCACGCGTCTCCACAAGCCCACCAGAGAGGTCGTCGACCTTCTACAACTACATATATGAAACGATCCCCACACATCAACATATTCGGAATTTCCATTAAATTTTCCGGGATGACAATTACCCAGATCTCCATATCTCCTGTTGCTAGCCCTGTTTTGCTTTTGACGAGAAAGACACCAGACACCTCACCAAACTAAGCCAAGAAACATCCTACGTGGTCCTCTGATATGTACAAGGGAACTCCATGTAGAGTCACTTTCGTTTTTCTGCTTCCTAAATATTCGGTTACTGTTTTAGTTAAGTGTATGTTCCCTGTCAGGTATTTTGCTGCATTTTCTCTGGCGAGCAGGATGTCTCACTTAGCATTGCTTTTTCTTGCCAATACTTTCACTGCAATATTTTGGCTATTTAGGGCCTCTTATATAATTTCCCTGTTAACGCCATTTGGCTTGCGTGTCTTAATGTCTGTTTTTAACAGAGAAATACTTCTAGTTTTCACCGTTTCCATAAGTGTAGGCACCAGTAACAGTTCAATTCCTTCAATGAAATGTCCATATTTATCCTCCAGTCTTTTATAATAATCGTGTCAGTTTGGTAGGGACCTTTGTCTACGCCGAAGGGATTGCTTCAGTGGGTGTGGCATCAGGAGTTTGTGACACTCCCATCATGTTGGCGTTCCCACGACACCGGTTAGAAACACTGGTTAAAAACAAACACAAGTTAACAATATACAAACTAAAAACAATATAAAACAATGGACGCAAGTACTGCAATCGAAGAAACAAAACTCATATTCACTTTAAAACAATGTAGCGCAAATAAATTTCAAGCGATCGCCAAGCAAAATCTCGTCAGAAACAAGACTGTGAAGGAAAGAAAAGTAAAGAAGATACATTGCCGACCTGACACCCTAATTTAACAAAGTCACGATAATTTGCGAGAGTGGTTAAGCGTATGCCAATTTTTTTGAGGGATCAGCTGGGCATAAAAACACGACCCGATAGAGAATAGGGAGTTCACTCGTGAACGCGGTACTACTTGTACGGAGAGATTTCGTGTTATGGAACCTACCTTTTATAGACTAAATGGACTCGTCCTATTACTATATTATGCCTCTGAAGAGGGCTGTCTACAGTTGACGAGTTGACTACGATTGACTTCTGTCGAACTCTCTGCTTTGGCAGAGAGGAACCCGGACGAGGCTTTGCCGAAGGGCAAAGTTTCACCCGGGGTGGTAGACAGGCCCTGAACCCGTCTAGGCGGGTTCAAAGGGTATATTTTTTGGCCGAGCCTACGGGCTTGGAGAAACCCACATTAAACTCGGCCTTGTGCCACACACATTTCTCGTGGGGGGATCGTTAAACATTGTTGACGCGTTGAATACGGTTGACTACGTGTACGACTTCTGTCGAACTCTCTGCTTTGGCAGAGAAGAACCCGGACGAGGCTTTGCCGAAGGGCAAAGTTTCGCCCGGGGTGGTAGATAGACCCTGAACCATCTAGGCGGGTTCAAAGGGTATATTCTTTGGCCAAGCCCACGGGCTCGGAGAAACCCGGCCTTGTGCCACATACATTCCTCGTGGGGGTATCGTTAAATATTGTTGACGGGTTGACAACTGTACTTTGCTCTCAGTCAGACGTGCAACACTTTTGTATTCGTTCTTTTTGTTAATAATCTGTTTTAACCACATTGCTGAGTTCAAGTTTTTCTTTCATGTTTATTCTGGGTCCACAACACTTTGTCAGTTGTAAAGAGATTAGTTGGGTCAGTTTCGCACAAGTATTTACATTATTTACATCATTCGTTCTGTTATCCTCATCTTCATTGTCATATTCATAATGTTTCAGGCGTTGTACACTCTGGCCTCCTTCAGCTGACTGTTATTTTGATTCGAACCTTTTATTCCGTCTGCCAGGCTATATTGTTCTAGTACCACGTGCCATGTCTCTTCCGGATGTCTTAGTTATTTGTCTTTAAATCGACTCTCCAAGGCTTTTGGTTCACCACTGCTGTAGCTTGATATTGAACTCACAACTCTTTGGGTCTAGTCACTGGATCTAACACCTTTACTGGGCCATGTGTCCTTGAGGAGAAATAGACAGATCTGTTATGAGATTAATCCTGCGTTTGCACAAGAATAGAGAAAGAACATTCTGACTGCAAGCGGAAGAAAAAATGTCTGGTAATTTAAGATTCGATTATTTGCTTCTAGGAACTTTGACACCATCCTAATCAATCGCTCTGAGATCAACAAAAGCTTAACTTAATAACAATGCAGAGATTGAATATATATATATATATATATATATATATATATATATATATATATATATAGCTGTCAAAGTTGAATGGGACAGTGTTATTATTCAAAGGATGCACAGCGAAAACAATGTACAAAAACTCGCTCCAGAAATACATCAGTATTTATAGAAGAGACTTTTATTTAGACGCATGATGCAAATAGGGAAGTATGGATATATTGAGTTTAACGAATTATTGGTTGCTAACAACGTTTATCACTAACAAAATAAGATCCAGTGTTAGCTCGCGGCTCTTACCTGGTATCTCGACTATAGTCACTTTTTCACAGAAGTGCTGTGGCTTCCTTCTGTCTTTTCTACAAATATTTTCATTGCAACTGCTCTGACGATCTACTTTCACTGGTACCCCTATTGTATGAATTTGAGCTCGCTACTAGGTTGGCTTCTCAGTCTCACCCTTTTCACTATGGAAACAGTTAAATGCAACCGCCTCTTCTACTCCAACAGCTTCTTCTAGCATTTCCCGTCAGTGGAACTCTTTGAGGAACGAGAAGATTTACCTCCCGCAAAGCGAATTTGCTTGGCGTGTCAGGTCCTGTTGAAAGATCGCGACCGGCATAAAAAATGAAATGGATTATTCCGAAATTCCTATCTTGCGGGACGAAGTACAAAGAAAAAAAAAAGACTAAGAATTCAAACCAGCTTGAATTTATAAAATAAGAAGTCTCGGGCGAACGAGAATTAAGTCTCGTATGCAAATGTTAGTTGTCCCCGGCGCAGACATATATACCGAGTCTGTGAGGAAGACGGCAAAATTTTTGTTGGTGTGACGGAGTACGTGTGTACTGACGAGAACAGGAGAATAAGGAAGAGGTCACTCGTAACAGCTCAGTTGGTAGAGCGGAGAATAAAGCAAGCACTTTAATCCATTTTAGTCATCGCAAACGACGGGTGAACTGAATTACCCACAAATTCCCATCGTCTTACGTGCTTCCTTGATAGCTATAATGTTCAAATATTTAAATGTAACCCTTGCGTGCTAGTGGAAATCCTACCTTGTTTGGGGTGAAATGCTTAAAAAAAAAGAAGAAAAAAAACTCTCTTCCTTTGGAATATAGGGTCACAGCGTTGTCACTGAAGGTAATGCTAATGTGAGCTCCGTAACAAGTATTTTTTTTACTGGATGGATAAACGGTTTTAATATTTAGTTGCTCTTCGTAATTATTGAAAGCTAAAGCTAAAGAGCCCCTTTTCCCCTACTGATAGAATATATTTGGGCTGAGGAAGAGATAGGATGGATCTTAATTTTCTAAGTATAGTTTGCGAAATATTATTAAACATGTTACTGTCTGTTTTGATCATTTTTCCACCTCGTGTAAATTAATGGATTTAATTTTAATCCAACATCTTCAGTACGTCTGACGTTATTTTTATTGATTGAAATAGACTTTTCGTTCTCATAGCAAACAGTGTGTAATACTTCTCATCTTTGTCGCCATATTTATTACAACGTTTCGTTTTACACTCCGGCCTTCTTGAGGTGGTTGGAATGTTGAAGTGAAGCCTTTATTTCCCTCACTGGATTAGACTGTTCTAGTTCCTCTTGCCATGTTTAATGGGTGTCAATTATCTTCTGTTAATTCCCCACTGCAAGTTCTCCATTGCCTTAACAGGGTATTGAACTCACACTCTTTGGGTCCTGTCACTGGATCTAACTGCCTTTATCCACTGTGCTATGTGTATGAATTTCTAGGTATTATAAACCTAATGTCTCAGCGTTCATAAACATGGCACGTGGAACTAGAAGAGTCTACCATAGTGAGCGAAATAAAGGGTGCAGTTCGACATTCCAACCACCTGAAGAAAACCGGGGCATACAACGACCGAAACTTTGTAATAAATATGGCGACAAAGATGAGGACAATAGTCCGAATAATGTAAATAGTGTACATAATACCTCATCTCAGAAATATAGACAGATATTAATTATTTTTGTTGATATATATTGCGATCAGTGTGCGCACCAATCAATTTCGTCTTAGTAAATTGTTTTCTCCTTTGATCAGAGTAGTACTTTTTATACCAAAATTATGCTCATTTTCGTTACGCTGAGCAACTAAGACATTTAATGTACTGAAACTAACGGAAATGAATCTGGTTAACAAAATCATGGCCAGTCGAGATATAAAATCTCTTTACAACAATATCAACAATTCGCCCTTTTCATGGAGTATTGCTGCCATATATGGTCTGGTGCCCCTTCTGTTTGCCTCGGGGTTCTTGATAGGCTCCAGAGGCGGATATGCAATATGGTTGGCCCTGCCCTGGCGTCTCGTCTACAGTCACTTTCTCACAGACGCGCCGTCGCCTCCCTCTGTCTGTTCTACAAATACTTTCATGGAAATTGCTCCGAGGAGCTGCATTCGCTGGTTCCCCAGACGTCATGAGTTCCAGCGCCTTACGAGGCTGGCATCC